TTTGACCCTGTAACTTCCCAAAACGATTTAAATAAATAGTACTACCTAGTTAGGCAGCCCAACTTGGAGTACCGAAAAGTGGGTGAATGAGATGGCAAAAGGGCGTAACCCTATAGTAAATACAGAGAAAGAAATAGCAGAAGTGGAGGATTGATCGCCTCGTGAAAAGACCGGGCTGATCACCTCCAAGCCACCCCAAAACAGCGTCTCAAAAATAATAAACAATTTTATTGGGAAAAACCTTATTAAAATCAAAAAAAGAAAACACATCTATCTATAAATAAAATAAATGACTAGAGCCCAATATATACAGAGTATGGCTGATATATATATGTATATATAGTGTAGTATGACAAATACCTATAGATAAAGTATAATACATATATAAGTACACAAGAACCATAGACTGTGCATTGCAAGCCCGATACAGAATATAGAATATGGCTAAATTATGGATACAATACTATAATAAGTGCCTGTGCAAAAGAGTAAAGGGTAAATATAGTAGTAAATATAAAGAGCCATAAGTTCTGCACTTAAAAAACTAATCGCTGCAGAGTATGGCTGGATAGACCATATCAAAATGTGGAAAAATCATAATAAAGTGAAACAATAAATAACAGTGTAAGCCACAATAGTAGCCAAAGACTCTGCTGCTGTACCTACAGGGTTAAGTTTTAAATGGAAATCGAAAGGATAGAGGAGGGCATAAATAAAAGAAGAAAAATAAAGCAGAAAGACCTGATTATAGATCTACATACAAAAAAACTAGGTCTGAATGCCTAAACCCAATAAACAGCCCACCTATCGCTAAATAGGATGACCAGAGCTACAAAAACGCTCAGTGCCACTAAACCATACTGTAGGGGACAAAGAAAAACAAAATAAACTAAATTAGCTACATAGAATAGCCCATAGCCCAACGCGCGTTTCGGTGGATTAACCACCTTTCTCAAGGGGACAAAGTAAAATGAGGCAAAAAAAAGAAAAAGAAAAAAAAAACTTCCCAAAATGCCATAAAACCTGTACATAGGGGGTACTCTCTTACACGTGAGACTTTACTGAATACAAATATGTGTATTTTATTGCAGTAAAAGCAAACAGTATTATGACATTGACCGTTAAAATGTCACGTAGAACTAAAAAAAATCAAAATAAATCGTATTTTCTCCCATTTTTTTCATATTAAATTATGTTTCATAGCTAAATATTTGATATTAAATGAAAGCCCTGTTTCCCCTGAATAAAATGATATATAATAAGGATGGGTGCATTTACTATGAAAGAGGTGAATTACGGTTGGACTGACATGTAGCGCAAATGCCAGGTTTTGTTTACATTTTGTTTTGTTCACAACGTGTACATTTGGCTCCGTCTTTAAGGGGTTAAAGGTTCATATTTCTTTTGTATCAGTGGTCTATTTATTATTGCGCTAGATGTCTCGGATAATTTATTTTATCTTCCACCCAGCATTAACCTCCACAATACCTACCCATTTTATTATGTCCTTCTCACCCTTTAGTAAATTGACCCATCATTTCTGATATTTTATACATCCTAATATTTGCAGAGGCTGAAGAGATGAATGAATGCATAACACAGATAAATACCCTGAACCCTGAACTACAAAAATCATGGATAAAATGTCTTCTTCAACATTACATAGTTCCCAATTTGCTTCTATCCCAATTTGCTTCTATCTTTTGTTCCCATGATTATACTATGGCATATTTTAATATTTTCCTCAACCTTTAGTATCAAATGTTTTACCTTAGATTTATTTATTTTATCCGTCTCTTCAAAATACTTTTATGTTTTTAATTAAAACTATTATTAAAAAACGTAATTTATAAAAATGTATTTTTTCATGATAAAATCCTTATTAATGTTCTTACACTTTAGTCCCATTGGACTGTTGTCACTCTATAAATTAGAATGATAATAATAGCAGTTTACCATTACCTTAGAAGAAAACAACTTCGAGGCCCAGAAAGTCTATTCTGTCCAACATCTTGATCAGTGTTATCATCTTGGTTTGCTGAAAGGATAACACAATGACAATGCTCAAATTCTCATTTCAAGTAAACCAATGTATTTCCATATATGGAGTTTTAAATAGCCATGAAATGTAGAAGGTGACAGGGCACATGAAGTAACTGTTCTCTCCTAGGCAACAATGTATGGAGCCACTTAACAGTCACATACCAGTGGTTAATTGTTCTTAAAAATCACATTGTGATTGTCTCAGCTATTTACATCTTGCAACAGTTTACAAAGCATGACTGTGTCATTTTTAAGCTTGCTGTAACTTCTCACCTTAAAACTGCCTGTCACCTAATCTAACTTCCCACTTTAATAAAAATGTCACTTCATCCCACAAACGCGATCACATAAACCCTTCCAGTCACAAATCAGTAATGTTCTTCATCCAATAATTAAAACCAGGCAATGTGGTGTTCTATCAACATTAGCCCGCTATGATCCCCTTGTTAGAAAAGTCATAAAATAAACATTACAATACATAAATATGTTGGAATTATCTCAACTTAACAAAAACAAAATAACGGCGAGGGACCTTTGCATGCATTTATTTCTTATTGGGGATTTTTATTGGTAAAAGAAAGAATGGGCTTTGGTATTACCTCATTTGAATAAGGAAATATTGGGAATATATACCTTTACTTTCCATGCATTGAACAGATTTCAAAAGGTTTCAAACCATTTTTTAATTACAAATCATTACATGCTTTTCTCACAATGTGTATATTGAAGTAAATGGAGGTTACGATCAGTAACTTGGGAAGAGGGTGGTGTTGGACGTTAGTCCTCCCAGTCACTAATACTCCACATACCCATTCACACCTTCAACCCCCAATCCCACTTCCCAGTAATTTAAACCTCTCCACCTATCACAGATCCCCACCTCATTTCCCAGGCATATTTACACAAGTTATTTATTGCTTTGGTGATGATCAAAATCTGTCATTTTAGTGATAAGAACCTCTTTCCAAACCAACATCCAAGGATCAGACTGAGTACATTGTTGAGATAGAGTCTGTGGTATAATAACACCAAGAAGCCGAATCCCTAGGTTTTTCGGATACAGTTATGGTTGGCCCCAGTAATTTTAACAGGCAAAGGACACAAAGACATCAAACATAGTCATTCCAATTTATTAAACAGATCAGAAGAGAAATAAAAAGGACATTTGGATTTTTTTTTTCTTAATTAACAATAAGTATTGGCTGGAATTTCTAACTTATTTTGATTAAACATGTATGAATTAGTCTGATTAGCAGAAACAAATGAAATCACCATCATTTAAGTCGGTTGGTAGGTTAGTAGCCTACCTTTAAGGTAGGTTTAGTAGAGATTCCAGACAGTATTTGAAGTATTATATTAGCTAGTAGTTATATATTTAAAGTTTGTGGATGTTAAATGATACATGAAGCTCTCAACTTTAACCTTAATCACTGGACAGCAGCATGTTTAGAAAAGATAATGTGAGCATTTTGTCCGTCAGCCAAACCAAACAGACTTGTATGGTAGCATCACATAGAGTTCTGAAAAGCATCTACAAAAATTCTGACAGGTCTTTCTTCTTTCTTATTACCACCAAACAATGCACGACATTCTGAACTTCAAATAATCTGTTCGTCCCCTCTACCTGAAAAAGAAACACCAAATTACAAAAAGTCATGTCATGGGTACACATCCTGAATTATATAATTGGAATTTCATTTTTTTTTTCTTTATAATTGAAAAACCAAACAATGGAAGAGAAAATGTGTCCTAGGCATTAGATCCCTAATTAAACATTGTGTGGTGTCTTTTTGTAGTGATAATTTAAGTAAAATGGAAATGCCATAGCTTGCACAACCCAGAAGCTAAATAGAAGTTAACTAATGGTCATGCTGTTTTTTTAAAAAAACAATTCAGAGCAGTGTTCACATGTCACTTTATATTGTGTGCCTGGGTGACCAATACATCTACACGTATGGCACTTTAACGGCAATAAAGCGATTCTCTAGAGATATAAACATAGTTGGAGAATCGTGGAGTTATGACAATTGCTCTGGAAATTGAAATGCTATTTTATTTATTTATTTATAAAATATTTTACCAGGAAAGATACATTGAGATTTCTCTCATTTTCAAGTATGTCCTGGATCCACAAAACATTGCTATGAAGGTAAGTGTATGTTAAACTTACATTGATTGTACTATTAAATCTATTGAATGCTTCTATAATATTTTAAAGGGAAAAATAAATTGTCACTTTAAGAAAAATGACAGTAAGACCTTCATAATGATTTAAGCACTGAACATTATTTTGCCATTATGTGCTATGCTACAACCAATCAGTATTTTCAATGTAAATAACCAATAGTGGTCTCTGTTTTTACTTAAGTTCAAGGTTCCCAAATCTTGATAACAGCCCCCTCTTATACTGAAAATGGAACCTATCGTGCCACCTAACCATGTGCCACCATTCATGTATAAAAGTTTACCAACAAACGTACACAGACACATGTCCAATGCATTAATCCCTTCAAAGGCAGGGAACTCTTCTCCATATAGTCAACACTGAAATTCACCTATCTTCTTGTCTTGTGTTGATACTGGATGTGGGTATAAAGGATGTCATTAGTTCAAAAATATTTTGCAGAGTGAAATGAAATGCAGTAGAAGCAATCTTGTGTATAATACTATAAAACAACATGTGTGATCCATTCAAGCCCAGATTACCGTATAGGGTCCATGCTTTGAAATAGGTCCTTACAGTCATGATATGAAAGCCTGTTTTTTTTTTTTTTAAACTCTTCCCAGCACTCCTGTACTGTGCTTAAAGGACCACTATAGGCACCCAGACCACTTCAGCTCAATGGGTGTACAAGTATGCTTTCCTGGCACTATAGTGGTCCTTTAAGGTTGGGTTTGGGTTTCATGTTGTGCGTGCAATCTCAAAGCAAGCTCTGTGACATGACAATTATATAAGAGGGAAGTCCAGAGATTGTATGGTATAGCAGTCGGTTTGTATTATGTCACATATAAAGAATATACCAACAATGACAATGGAAGTGCTAATGTACAGGTGATACTCGAAAAATTTGAATATTGTGCAAAAGTTCATTTATTTCAGTAATGCAACGTAAAAGGGGAAACTAATATATGAGATAGACGCATTACATGCAAAGCAAGATAGTTCAAGCCGTGATTTGTCATAAGTGTGATGATTATGGCTTACAGCTCATGAAAACCCCAAATCCACAATCTCAGTAAATTAGAATAGTGTGAAAAGGTGCAATATTCTAGGCTCACAGTGTCCCACTCTAATCAGCTAAATAAGCCATAACACCTGCAAAGGGTTTCTGAGCCTTTAAATAGTCTCTCAGTCTGGTTCAGTAGGAAACACAATCATAGGGAAGACTGCTGACCTGACAGTTGTGCAGAAAAACATCACTGACATCCTCCATAAGGAGGGAAAGCCTCAAAAGGTAATTGCGAAGGAAGTTAGAAGTTCCCAAAGTGCTGTATCAAAGCAGATTATTAGAAAGGTATGTGGAAGGGAATAGTCAAAAGTGTTGGGGACTTTCACAAGGCGTGGACTGAGGCTGGGGTTAGTGCATCAAGAGCCAGCACACACAGACGGATCCTGGACATGGGCTTCAGATGTCGTATTCCTCTTGTCAAGCCACTGCTGAACAACAAACAATGTCCGAAGCGTCTTGCCTGGTCTAAAGAAAAACAGACCTGGTCTGTTGCTCAGTGGTCCAAAGTCCTCTTTTCTGATGAGAGCAACTTTTGCATCTCATTTGGAAACCAAGGACCCAGAGTCTGGAGGAAGAATGGAGAGGCACACACTGCAAGATGCTTGAAGTCCAGTGTGAAGTTTCCACAGTCTGTGTTGATTTGGGGAGCCATGTCATCTGCTGGTGTTGTTCCACTGTGCTTTATTAAGTCCAGGGTCAACGGAGCCGTCTCCCAGGAGGTTTTGGAGCACTTCATGCTTCCTTCCGCAGAAAAGCTTTATGGGGATGCAGACTTAATTTTCCAGCAGGACTTGGCACCTGCCCACACTTCCAAAAGCACCAAAGCCTGGTTCAATGACCATGGGATTACTGTGCTTGATTGGCCAGCAAACTCGCCTGACCTGAACCCCATAGAGAATCTATGGGGCATTGCCAAGAGAAAGATGAGAGACATGAGACTGAAACAATGAAGAAGAGCTGAAGGCCGCTATTGAAGCATCCTGGTCTTCCATAACACCTCAGCAGTGCCCAGGCTGATAGCTTCCATGCCACGTGGCATTGAGGCAGTAATTGCTGCAAAAGGGGCCCAAACCAAATACTGAGTCCATATGCATGCTTATACTTTTCAGAGGTCCGATATTGTTCTATGTACACTCCTTGTTTTATTGATTGCATGCAATATTCTAATTTACTGAGATTGTGGATTTGGGGATTTCATGAGCTGTAAGCCATAATCATCGCACTTATGACAAATCACGGCTTGAACTATCTTGCTTTGCATGTAATGTGTCTATCTCATACATTAGTTTCCCCTTTTACGTTGCATTACTGAAATAAATGAACTTTTGCACGATATTCTAATTTTTCATGTATCATCTGTAACTTGTCTTACTAAGTACATCAAATGTTGGATCAAATATTTTTACTGTAAGAACAATAAAGATGTGGAATTTTCTGCCTGAAGAGGTGGTTTTATCAGAGTCTGCACAGAAGTTTAAACAGCAATTGGAAAAATATTTTCAAAAAATTTATATTCAAGGATATCATTTTTGATTAGTGGGATAATAGCTTATTGATCCAAGGAGATCTGATTTCATTCTGGGATAAGAAAGGAATATTTTCCTAGTTTGTTGCAAATTAGGAAAAAACTTCAAACTGTGTTTTTTGCCTTCTTTTGGATCAATAGCAAAAACAGATGTGAGAAAGACTTAACATGATGGACACTTTTCAGCTATGTAAATATATCTGCTCCAGGCCCATAAAGCAGAAATCTAGCACTGGATCCATGTGATCCATTCTAGATTTAATTAGCTACATTTGCTAAATAACAGACACTTGTAAAAAAAAAACATGAAAATAATCATGAAAAATAAATAATATTAAGACTGGTGTTTTACAAGTGTCTAAATTTTGTTGCAAATAGCAAGTGAAATATGCAAACATTCTAATTACAATGATAATCATTCTTAAAAATTATAAATGCAAAGATCTATATAAATATGAAAAAGTCAATGCTGTTCTATTAGTATTTTTTGTGAATTACCATTCTTTCAATAACACAAATCAGCAACCAATAACAAATCCAATCTGATTACCAGCAGCTGGAAACACCAATTTTCATTATATCTAACTGTGAATTGGACAATTGGGCAATTGCTAAAACTGTGAAATGGACAATTGCTCTCTTTTCTATTTTCTGGTGTTTCCCCAGAAAGATCCTAGTGAGAAATTTGGACTAGAGGTCAGAAATAATGGGTACACTATACAAATCCCAATGGGTACCCTATCCAAATCCCATTAAAGTACTGCGCTATTGTTGTGCAATCACTTTTACACTTGTGTTGCTTTTATGAAAGAGGAATATATGAAACAATGCAAATATCTCCAAGTGCTTCCTTTTAAACCAGATATCCTAAAAAATTCAATATAAATACAAATAAACAAAATATAGTCAGTTTATAAAAAATGACATCTTGTCTTGTCTTGAAATCTTGATAAACACTTGAAAAAAAAAACAAACATATGCAATGCAAAATACTTATGTATTTTATCAGACTGTCTGGAAGTCATGTAGAATGTGATTTTGAGATCTTGTTATGCAGGCTCAGGATTGTTCTCTGATGTTCTACATTGTCCTTTTTTTCCTTGTTTTTGTCTGTACAATGCAGTTTGACATCACGTCATAAAAGTTTATGAGCTGTGTTTTCCCTGTTCCATGCTAATTTCCCCAGCATTCCTCTGGCCATCCAAAATCAATACCACAGCTCTTCTCAATAAATAATTGAGACTTGAACCAGTTCCAAATGTGCACACTGACAATCTGAAGCAATTAGATTCAGCACTAACAAATAGCGGTCTCTGGGGTTAAGACGCAGGCACGGAACAGGAACACTGATGTCATCTTCCTAACGGGAAGCCCAGGGAAAGTCAGCAGAGTTAAGGCGATACTGGAGCCTGAAACAACGTCCCTTTTTGCAGCATGCTAAAAGGAGCATTGTAAAATGTTTTTTTACTATTTTATTACAGAAAAGGTTATAGGAAGAAAAATATGGACCACAGATGAAGGTGCTAATCTCTGTTTTAAACCACACATATAAAAATATATCTCAAGTGCAAAATAATGAATATCATATTAATTACTGAAATGTATTGCAAGAAGTTAGGGCAACTTTGTTTAAATATGGTGTCCTCTTTATTGAGCTTGCTTGCCATCTATAAAACACACACATTCTGCATTGCTATGATTTTCTTCCATTCATTGTGAATTGTTTATTGTTTTAATGCATGCATATACTTAGTAGAACTTTACTAAATATTACTTGGATCGATATTTTACATTTTGTTTCTTAATAAATGACAAATACATATAGTCAATATGAAGTACTTTATGTGTAAAGAATCTGTCCTCGTTTTCATTAAAAAAAAAAAAAGTCTTACATTTTCGAAAGAAATTGGTACTTTTATTAATTAATCTTGTAACAGTCATCTGTTACAGTAACTGGCTCCATTACTTTCTGGTTGTTTAGCTCGATGTAACTAAACTCATGTGGCAGCAATTTCCCAGAAGATCTACCTTCTCATTGTATGTATTGAGAAGTCTGTGATTGAACAGCTACGACATCTCAGCTGGGGAAGAAGGGGTGTGCTTTTAAAAGCTACAGACAAGAGATCTGCAGCTTTGCAAGCTATTAGATGTACACCCAATGGAAAATGCATGATTAAATGCAGGCATGTTTTCATTGGGGATATATCCACTAAATAGTGATTTGTTTTGTTTGGGCAGTGGAGTGCCCTCATAAAGACTCTAGTGGGTGTATGCGATATGGAGGAATATGTAATGGAAGGGAATAATAGCAGTTAAAGACATTTACGAAACGTATTTTGCAAAGATGACCACCAAGGATATTTCATATGAAAGCGAGTAAAAACAGTTGCATGTGTGCAAGTATTAAAATCCCATGGGGCCTAGGAAGGTTGCCAGTTTGGGCTGTTTGTTCATTACTAAGGGTTAATGGGGTCAAACAAATTCATGATTCCGTGTCCCCTGTCTAACCTCTGTGTACTTTGATTTGCTATGTCTACTTAACAGAGAAAGGGGCATTGATGAAGAATAATGTTCAAGATGAGAACGCAAGACATTACAAGTAGCTCCCACAAAATGTGATTGGGAACACTGGTTGGTATCACCTAGTTAGTTTTGGAAATGTTTACTTACAATTGCAGGGCCATTTGCAGGATAGTGGACTCAACAGTTCTACAGGGTAATGCTTTAAAAGTAAAACTCTTCATAACCTGAGATTACTGAGAAGTTGTTCTTTGTTCCCAATTCTTATATAAACCATTAACATAGCCAGTGTCTAACCCCTTCAGGGCCGAGGACGGTTCAGGACCGTCACCATCATTTTTCCATTGCTGATCGGTGACGGTCCTGAACCATCCTAACGGTCCAATGTACTTACCCGATCGCCATCGTTTCCCCGGCGGTGATCGGTGTTGCTCCCTTTGTGGGGAGACTGCCTGCAGCCCAGACAGTCACCCCATGGTGGATTAGGACCCCTGTGGCCATGTGATCGCTCAACAGAGCGATCACATGGTCACAATAGGTGTCCAAGTGTCTGCCTGTGCTGACAGGCAGTCTCCCTGCTAGTGTAAAATCATTAAAAATAATAACTGTTAATGTTAATAAAAAAATAATAATTATATATGTGTATATAAATATGATATATAGACATATATTATATAATGTCTATATATCATATATATAATGTCATACTAACTGTATTTTTCTATTAATATGTACATATATTAATATAAAAATACACTTATAATTAAATTACACACATATAAATATATATATAATATATATAATAACTATATATATTGTATATAAATATTATTATAAATATTATTATAAAATACAAATAATAAGTAATTTAAATTAAATAAAAACATGTAAAAATAATAATAAAAATTAAAAAATATATATATCTATATGAAATTTTATTCTAACTGTATTTTAAAAGTAATATATATATATATATATTTATATCAAAATACACTTAGAATAAAAATGTGTATATATCTATGTATATATAAATAAATACAAATAATACAAAATATACATATATCCATATACAAAATTACATAATTATATAAATATACACGTAGACTATATTTAAATTCTACGTGTGTATTTATGTAATATTTTTACATAATTAAGTAATTTTATTGATTGCAATTTGAGGGACCTGCCTGCCAACCCAGGCCGAAAGTCCAGAGAATGTAATTTGCTAGCACTATATTTTACCCTGTAACTTTCTATGACACCCTAAAACCTGTACATGGGGGTACTGTTTTACTCGGGAGACTTCGCTGAACACAAATATTAGTGATTCAAAACAGTAAAACATATCACAGCAATGATATTGTCAGTGAAAGTGACTTTTTTTTGCATTT